ATGGAGCACTGGGTGTTATACGCAAACAATGAATCATGGAACACTACATCAAAAACTAATGATGTACTGTATGGTGACTAACATACCATAAGAAAATAAAATTTAAAAAAAATCACTGGGCTAAATACATTCCTAATCTAACACTGGAGATGAAAGTGTCTTCGGAGCCACTTGAAGCAGCTTTGTTTCAACTTTTATTTTAATTTCCACCACAAATGGATAAAAGTGGATCTTCTGGGGTTTTTTTAAGTGTGTTGAACATTTCACAGCATGTCCCCCACTAAGAAACCCTCATCAGCTTCTCTGTCTCTGTCCTTTTTCAGAAGCTACCAGCACTCATGTGTTGGTTTGTTGTTTTTGATCAATGAGTCGTGATTTTATATACTTTACCAAACCAAGGGCACCAGTTTCTTACCAGCCTAGTTCAGGGATAATGCTTGACTGTAGATTTTGTGGTGATGTTTGTGTTTTAAAGCACTTTTTAATATTTGTCTGATTCCAGACAGGATTGTAAGATGTCTACAGTAACTAACAGTTACTTGCAAGGCCCTTATTTGAAATCGTATCTGCAAATATCAGGATGTCAGTTTTAAAGTTCCAGACAACAATCCTGATATTCCCAACATCTAGAGTTTGTAGATGACACCAACATTCTAAGTATCAACTGTGGTTTTCATCTTCTTCACATTTATAATTAAGCTCCTCTTCTCCACGGGGGTAATTGTTACCTAAATGATGCCTTCCACAATAAAAGAAAAAATGTTATACATGATTATCACTGCAACATCAGTCTCTGATGTATGTGTTTAGAAACTAACCACCTTTTTTTTTGTTTTTTTTTTTTTTGAATAGGATGTGCCAATGGGTCAGCATAATTTTCAAAATCGTACCTTAAGGTATGGTATTTGTTGTACTTTCTGATTTTTAAAGACTTGTCTTTTTTTTTCTGTATTTATTACTGAAAGTGATTATCATCAATTAGAGTAACTTGGAAGGCCATTTCTTCTAAAAAGAGCAGCTGCTTGTGAAAAGCCCAATTAGATTGTTTTCAGCTTCTAAAAATATCATTATTAGGGTCATGTTATTAGGTTCAAAAGAGGGAAAAGGAAAAACAGCACTGGGTAAGCACATTAGAACTTTAAATTGTTTTTCCTAAAAATGACTCTTCTTAATGTTAATATGTAGTAAAAAATTGGATTTTCTTAAAAGTAGTATGCTGCTTAAAATTACATTTTTTGTGTGTGTTGAATCCTAGAGATAAAAAAAGCAAGATAAGTCCGTCCTTTCTATAGTGAAAAGAAGGCCTGCCAACCTGCTCAAAAAAAAAGAGAAAAGCTTCACACGGTGTCCACAGGCCCCTTGTCACCATCAGCCACAGAATGTAGGCACTAACCCTTTTTCATGATCCTCTAGCTTTTGGGCTCAGAGTTTTCTATTAGTATTGGTTTGGGAGTTAAGTATTTCTTATTGAAGTCATTAGGACAATTAGTGAAAAGCCCAAAACTTAAGTCAGCCTTTCTTTTCCCACAGAGAAGTGCGTTTATTCTGTAGAAAATGCATTGTATCCAAGTATAATTAAACACGATTAGATTGTTACCTGCCACATCCTTGCAAATAGGGCCCCTTATTCCAGAATCTTCTATGGGACTTCATTTGTTCTAATGAGCTCTAATTCGTATTTTGTATCACATTTGAAATTTTAATATTGAGATATAATACTTAAGAGTGCTATGTTGTAAGGATATTGGGTTCTTGGGCTTTTGAAGCATTAAGAGGCACATTAAAGAGAACTTACATTAATTTAGGAACATCATGGACCCCATAAGATGACTTGAGAAGGTGAAATTCTTCAAGCCAGTAAGACGTTAGGAGATCCGTAAGCAACTGTCCATGGAAATTTCATAGGCATCTTTTCATTTTATATTCCATATTTCTTCTGTCACCTATCTCGTCCTCCCTGAGATTCTGCCTCAAGGGTCTATTTACTAGACCTTAACTATTTACTGAAATTAGCGTGGGGATGCCTTGTGGAGGGCCCATAGGATGTGGGCAGCAGCTTCTGGGAAGAGTGCTGTGTGGAAGACAATGACAATAAGCCATCTTTTGGATCTGTACCAGGCATACAGAAGATCTCATGTCACCCCTGTAGCATCACTCCAACATAGACTCTATGCTGTTACCATTTTAGAAGGGAGGACACAGAGGCGCGAGGGGTGAGGAGAAGGCCCAAGCCACATGGCTGGCAGAGGAGAGGCCCGGATTTGTGCTCTGGCCTTGTGACCCCAAACTCTGCACCCCTAACTGCTCTCCTGTCCTGCCGGCCTTGCTGGGAGCCTCTCCCATATCGATTCCACTTTCCTCTGCAGTGGTTGGATCGCTGGTGGCCCCAGGGCCTCATGGAGAGAGCACCACTTCCAAATCAGCCTCACTGGGGCTGTCTTCACATGTCCTGGTTTCCGCCAGTGGCCTGCGTTATAAAACCTCCCTGAGCCTTCAGCCTGGCCATTGAGCCAGCATGCCCTGGTATAGAACATTACCAGGGATGACTCACGACCTCCTCCCCGCATCCTCAGATACAGTAGACCAGGTGTGGGAGTGGGACAGGTCGGGGAAGGGGCTCAGGAGGAAGAATGGAAGGAAATTGGAAATCAGGGTAACCCAGGGGCAGGAACATAGACTGGACAGCCAGAAACACCTGACGTCTGAGGAATACAACCCAAGCTGGCAAATTAAGAACTCCCGGTGGTAGATTATCAGCTCCCTGGGTGTCCTGTCATTCACCATAGCAGAGATCACAAAATGACAGAGACAGGGGAACTACGTGTTAAGAATTATTATCCAGATAATCAGTAAGCACAGTGGATGTGTAATAATACCCACGTATGGGCTACTCTGTGCTCACCTTTACATTGTTATGTGCTGTGTAGACATTATGTAAACTAATCCTGAAACAGATTCATGGAGGCAATGCTCTGGTTAGCCCCGGGCATACCATGGAAGGATTACGTTTTCCTGTGAGCCTCCAGGGACCTACACTGTTCTTAGATTTGGCAAGACTTTGTGAAAAAGAAAGCCACCAATTGAAGTCTACAAACTCAAGTGTAGGCAGAGGGCCAATACAAAAAACATGAAGGTACCCCTCCTTGCCTCTAAATGAGAATGAACCATCCTAGATGATTGCTAAATTAACTTTTTTTTTTTTTAAAGAAGGGAAAAATGAATGTTCCTTCTTCAAATGTAAGCATGCTTAGAATTTGGCATGCTTACACTTCTTCGTTCAGTTTGCTCATATCTGTAGGTGGATCACTTCGGATCATTGTGCTTTTGAACCGGGAATGCCCGGGGCCCATTTCAAGAAGGCAGGAGCTCAGGGCAACAACCCACCAATGGTGTTGGGATGATAGGAAGGCCCGTCTGTCTCGTTCATGATACTCTCGGGAGATTTAATTACAGATAGATGTGACATTGCTATTCTTGTCTGTTATGTAGGGGCGGTTCTGAATTGAGAACAGTTACTGTCATCCCAGAGTAGAAGGCCTGTCCGATTAGTAATTGCCATCCCCCACCACCCCAAGCCCAGAGAAGCCGTGGGCTCGCTCCACGTTAGACCAGGTGACTTGCAGGTGCTCTACTCAGTTTCGTGAGGCTCCTGTGTGCTTTTACTCTCTGCAACAGATGTGTAATTTTTAAAAATAGGGATTATTTTGATTTTCTCCTTTATATGATTCTCATGCGAATGGTCAAATTAACCTTGGGGAGCTCATTCTTTTGGCCTAATTTGTTGACAAGGCGTCTTTTAATATGGCTGAAGATTATTTTCTTCTAAGACCAAGTGAGTGTCTGCAAATATATGTGGGGTTTCCTGTGAAGAGCGCTTTCAAATACTGAGGAAGCTTTAAATGCATACAATGAAGCTTTGATAGGCCTCAGAGAAGACTGTCGTTCTGCAAATTCTTGAAAACTGACCAAGGGAAACATGAACAAGGAACAACTGTTTTTTTCAACCAGACCAAATTTTTGCAGGGGAGTTTCCAAAGCCAGTGTGTTCCATCGTAAAATAAAGTTTATGAAGGCAACAAGTCAAGGGCTAATGCATCTCTTAGGACAGAAAGTTCTTTTATCACAAACACCAAGGATATATCTCCAGTGTTGCTTTTTAATGTCTGGTGTCATTTCACTCTCAGTGACTAAACTGTAAGGTAACATTTTACTATGCCAGTCGCCAACTCTAGTCACTTCGCTCAATCCACAGAGTGGCTGGATGTTAATAAAGAAAAGGCTGCTCCTAGACTCTCGTTTCCTTCTTTCCCAATTTTGATCCAATGGGCTGAATGAAATAGGGGTTTCAGCATCATAGAAAAATGGACTTCATATTTGGCTTAGTCACATTCTCTCTCATAATGCTTCCCTTTTCATACAGAACCAAGTCCCAAAAGAAAAGATTTGAAGAAGAATTAAATGAAAGGATGATTCAAGCAATTGATGGAATTAATGCACAAAAGTGAGTACCTCATGATCTTAAATTACCATTTTTTTTATTTCAAACTGTATTATTTGAAAACGTGTCATATTTTCCACAAATTTCACCATAAACTCTGTAATACTTGCCATGACAAAGCCATGCTTTTAGAAGACATTGGTTCAAGTCACCTCAGTTGTCCTTAATAATAGCTTTTGGTAATTAGAAAATTTTTCATTCCTGTCTAAGAAATACTCTCTGGGTAAATTACTGAAAAACAACATGAGATATAAACATAGAAAAATCATAGCAAAATGTGTTCAGTAAGAAATATTTTTTAAAGGTCGATAGGAATGCCATGTGGGAAAATCTGAGTTGTATTGTGTGACTCTCTCTGTTCAAAATGCATTTCTTCCCCTGCACAGTCCGGGAATGTGGACGCACCTGTGTTCTAGGTTGTTGAAGAGAGGTTTTGAGCACTAGAATCTGAATTCAGGGCAGCAGTGGGAGGAATAAAGATCCTTTAGGGGACAAAATATCATTCAGTCTATGAGTTTGTGAAATCTGTGAATGTTTCTTCAGTCTGTGAATTGCTGTTATAGTTCTAAATGGTCCAGGAGATGCAAGGGGAAAATTAAAGAAGGTGGTAGATCTCACGGCCTGGATATAATGACGACATTCGTTGGCCTTGGAATTCTCCTTAGGTCCATGTGTCATGGCTGAACCTCCTAGAGGGCAGCAGATAGATGACTGTATGGTGCCTGGTGCCCATTAGACACTCAGTGAGTGTTTGTTAATTTAACTTGTAGCAAACACTTCAGTATGTCCAAATGAAAAGCCTTAATGAAAAAGTTTCCATCCTTACGGAAACCAGAGTATTTGACTTTTATCACGGAAGTTGACTCGCGGAAAGTATGAATGTTTTCACCTGAATTCCCTGCTTCCAAAATTATGTTACACAGCTTTGAAAACTATGTGCCTTTTCTAGATTGTTCCTTACAGTCGTTTTAGAATATTTACATGACTTATGAAAGAATCACACGAGCATATATGTAAGTGTATATGGTGTGTGTGATTGCGTGGATACACAATCAAGTATCTTGGCTGGGCTAGAACTGCAATTCACATACGTTGCTGGCATGTTCCATTAGCCCCTGTCTAGAGCCCCTTTGCGTGCCCCAAATAGAGAAAGCCTTCCACCTGTCATGGAGCCCTCAGGACACACCAGTGGCGCCCAGACAAATGCTCTGCTTTGCCAGGCTCTAAAAGCAGTATAAAAATCAACTTCATCTCTGCCCCACTCGAAACCTCAACACATCACAAACCAAGAAACTTGCTTATCTGGAATCAGTTGGCAGCCAAAACTTAGGGAAGAGTATGATTGCATGTGGGATGGGTGGAAGGATATGTTCATTCAGCCAGAGGAAATCACACCTACTACTCTGGGACCCACCAGAATAAAACACACATCAGAAGAAAGGGAACACCTTGTTCCTGACAAAGTTAGCTGATTACAATAGTTACGGTAATAATAGAAAGCCCGTGTATAAAGTCAGCCTCAGCATGCCTTCCTGCAGGACCTCTACTTTCGTAAAAGACCTTTGTGTCCCCCTTTTCGAGTGTTCCTACTGAAGGATTCATTAGAAAGCATAATCATGGGCTTGGCTTTATTTTTGTAGAGGTGGCTTTCGGATTGTCTGTACTATATCATTTCGTATTCAAATGCGTGTTGAGCGAACACCTTCATGCTTTCGTGTAGCTTTATTCTAAGGTAATGTTTAATGCTGGTGTAACCACTTCAGTTGTAATTTTCCCAACACATTTCAGAAATGAAACAGGGAGAAATGTCATGCTGTACTCAGAAGTCAGAAGTGAAATTGTTGAAATGGAAGCTACTTTGCATATATTTCTTAATTAGCTTCCCTCCCATTCTGTTTGGCCTGACTCATTACCTCCTCTTGTTCCTGCATCTGGTGTCCTTCTGATCTTTGAATTTCCTCTGGAGGAGTCAATGAGGACTCCAGTCTTGATGCACCATTCTGTTGTTTCCTGGACAGGAAACGGTGATTCAGATGCAAGTGTCCGTGTCTGTGTTCATCTACTCCCTTCACGGGCACTGTGTGAAGGGCTAAGCTGGGGCAGCATGTGCTTGGCATCCAAGACACAAGGCACAGTGGCACCTCTCAAAGCCCTGGGGAGAGAAGAGAAACCGCCGCACACATGCTCAGGGCAAGGTGCCTGGGATTCTGACTTAGTCCGGGTAGGCGAGGTGAGAAGATCGTGCGCCCAAGATTAAATATGTATGATGGACAGAGCGAATGCCCGAGTGCAGGACAGATCGACCAGAGGATCTCAGACCCCAGGGCTGAGGAGGGTGGGTCTTCCACACGGAGAGACCACTTGTGTGGGAATACCATCTTTCCCAAATGCCCCAGGGCCTGAGGGCACAGTCAAGGCCACTGAAGCCTTCACGTTCGATACTGCCCAGACAGGTGTATTAGTTCACTGGGGCCGCCGTGGCAGAAGACCCCAGACCGGGGCTGAAACCACAGACATTTACTTCTCATAGTTCCGGAGGCTGGAGGCCCAAGATCAGGGTGCCGGCACGGTCGGGTGCTGGTGAGAGCTCTGTCCTTGACTCGCAGAAGCCTTCCCGCTGTGTTCACAGGGCCTTTGCTTGAGGCTGGGCCTCTGGTGCCTCTTGTTATAAGGACCTTCATTCCTTCCCATCAGGGCCCCACCCTTATGACCCCATTTAACTCTGATTATCTCTGTAGAGGCCCCATCTCCAGATGCAGCCACGCTGGGGATTAGGCCTTCTACATACGAATGGGGGGGATGTAGACCTTCAGGCCGTAACAGCAGGAAAGTGGTCTTCTCTCTATTTTAGTGTCCTCTTTGCTGTAAGAACCTACATTCTTCCATTCCAGAATAATTCTGAGTAAGGATGTGGGTGTACATTCCCCTCACACAAGTCAGGATCTTGTTTAGAATTTCCTTTGTTGGACCTGGGCCTCGCACAAAAAAACAAAAACAAAAACAAAAAACTTGGGATAAATCAGTAGAGGATCACTCTTTGTATAGCACAGCGGTGGGGTTGATTTTCTTCATCCCATTGCCACCTGGGTCAGGAACGATGTCAGGACACCGTAAGTAACACACACGTTCCTTCCTGTCCCTTCCTTCCTCTTCCCTTCTTTGCCCCTCTTTAGTTCCAGTTCCCAAAAATATTTGACCAGATCAGCCCCCACTAGTCTTTCCTGTTCCAAATATCCAAATCCGGTTTCTAAATGTCTGAGTTTCCTGCAAATCAGTGAAGGGCACCGATCCATCTCCGAGAACCTACGAATGGTGAAGCCTGTGGGGAGGATATACTCTCCTTCCTCCTGAGGAAAAGGTCAGAAGAACCCAGTGCTCCTGGCTAAGGAAACTCAGTGTTAAGTGCTGGGGACACAGGGAAGTGAGAGCTGGTCTCGAGCACTTTCTGTCTCCCTGCAGGACACAGGCAGGTGACTGAGACCCACACTGGGCATGGGGCTCTGCTAATTGATGTGGAGATGCTTTTACTTCTACTTCATAAGTTTCACTCTTAGTTTATGTCCAATCTTAGATTACCCAGGGGCATTTTGAAATTAGATTTTTCTTTCTCAATAAAGGGGAAAAAAACTGTTTTGAATAAGTTACGTGCATACATTATTCATAGTGTGATATTCATAACAAGTACACAGTTTTGAAAATGAATATGGTTAAAATTTATCTCAGATTTTATCTTCTGCTCTTTTGGCTGTTCACCAACCTTTGATTTCTCCAGTTTCATCAAACAGGACAATACCACATTTCTGCAGCTGGTACAGAAATAAGAAATACCAAGAAAAATTTATGTCCCGGATACCTAAAGCTTCGAACCTTGAACCGAAAAGTATTTTTATAGCTCTCATTTTAAATGGCAGTCATACTAGAATACATCACTGACTTCCATGCCCCTGTTGAGAGCGCCCTGTCTGTAGTATAGATCTATGGGATAGTCCAGCTCATCATGACGCACATGCAGTACGAGGTTCTGGGCACAGGGCCGTCCAGGTAGGCCAGGTAGTCTGCCCTCCAATGTGCTCTTCTCCTGGGTTAACTTGTCATTAGCCCCGATGGGAAACATCAGTGTCAATTTCGAGACCCTGATCCAATACCAGTAGTTGGCTGTACTTACCCATTACAAGGTCAAGTGTAACAGTTGACTTGGCCTTCTTTCCTGGATCCTCAAATCCCTATCTCCCAAATAAACCTCAGGGAGTCAAAAATCCATAGACATCTGACCAATGGGCTGGAAAAGTACCTCATTAAGAAATTCATATGAATTGATAATTGTTTGAACAGATTTAACATATTTTTAGAAATCTATATAAAACATAATTTTATGTCTCATGTCCTAAAATATATATATATATATATATTAGTATATATATACATACTCTCTCTCCCCGTATATTGATATATAGGTATAGAAATAGATGTAGCTAGGGACGCCTGGGTGGCTCAGTCGGTTAAGCATCTGCCTTCGACTCAGGTCATGATCCTCGGGTCCTGGGATCGAGTCCCACATCAGGTTCCCTGCACATAGGGGAGACTTTCTCCTTCTCTCTCTGCTTCTTTCTCTCTTTCTGTCAAATAAATAAATAAAATCTTAAAAGAAATAGATGTAGATATATGGTTATAAACACTTGTAGATATATACATATATACACATATCTAATGCATATACATATATAACTCAGGTTATTTTTTATTATAGAAGTATTTATTTAAAAAAAAAGAAGTATTTATTTAAGAGAAGTAGGAAAATAGAAATGTAGATTCCTCAGTGTAATGACCCAAAGCACCTGGTAATATATTTTGTTGGTATTTATCTCTAGATTTTTTTTCTTGATACACAGATTTCAATTTATCCTTGTACTCCTATACTCATGAATGTAAGAGTGTGTATCTTTCTATTTCATTCATCTTTATGTCATCAAATGTGCATGTACTTTGTTACTGGGTATGGGATTGTGCCCAACTGGTTGGGGCTTACGTATATCAGGTGTCGCTGTTCCACTTGCAAGTTATACAATGTTCTAGAGAAAGGTTCTTTATATATATATATATATATAATTATTATTTATTTGAGAGACAGAGAGCGAGCGAGAGAGAGCACAAGCAGGGTGAAGGGCAGAGGGAGAAGCAGATTCCCTGCTGAGCAGGGAGCCCGATGTGGGACTCGATCCCGGAACTCCCAAGATCATGACCTGAGCCAAAGGCAGACGCTTAACCAACTGAGCCACCCAGGTGCCCTAGAGAAAAGTTCTGTCCCTAAGCTCTTTGTTTATTTCAGCTGCCTTCTTAAAACCGATTTCTAAAAGTCAATCAGTGTGTAAGAACGCATACCTTCATATCATTTTTATTTATTTTTCAGCATCTGAGGGAATGTTTGTATTACACAAGAGTGTTTACATTTGCATCAACATACTACGTTAGTGGTCTGAACTGATTGTTTATTGTATTAGTATTTTTACCCATTTTTTAAAATGCATTCAAGCAAAATTTTTTACTTTATAGAAATGCAAGTCATGACAATAAATATATTTTCAGTAAGTGTGAAAGAAGCAGGATCTTCTCTCCCAGAACTTGGAGGACACTCTAAATGGTTTTGATGCTCTGATGTATTACTTGCTATAAGCTAAGAAAAATGGTGCTTCTCTATGAACCATATTTTTCAGGGGATGAACCTACCATGTGACTTCAGTAAAACATCAGGGAATAAATTTACTGCTGAACTTGAATCCTTTTGATGACTTATTTCCCTAGTTATTTAATTTTGGGAGCGTGAGTTTCAATTTGGTATGACAACTGGTTTGTAATAGCTAATTTCCCAAGGGGGGTCATGTGTGAATAGCAATATTATATTTGCACACCTTATTTTAGTCCTAGATTCCATACCCAGTTATTTGGTATTATGCATTTTTTTAAATCTCCAATTTTGGATGGTTTACAATAAAGAAAGAAGAATGCACATGATTTTTTTTAAAGTTTCAAATCATTGATTGGAAGTTTGGTTTTATGATGTCTCTTTTTTATTTCCAGGCAGTGGCTCAAGTCTGAAGACATTCAGAGAATCTCACTCCTGTTCTACAATAAAATACTAGAAAAAGAAGTAAGCTACTTTTTTCCCCAATCTTTTTTCTGAAGTGTGAGTTTTTAAAAATCTGAGTCACTGGCTGGCCAGTCACCCTGCTCAGCACTCCTGGTGGGGATGGCATCTGCAGCAGGTCTGAGATCCAGGGCTAAGGGGAGGGGACAGGAGCTCATAACTGGCTTTCCTGATGGCCTATTTTCTTAGAAAAAGTTTTTCAAAGAAAACAAAATCCTTCAAGAAGTCAAGAAAAAAAGGACAAATTTGCAGTTTCTTACATAAATCATTTTAATTTCTTAACAAAAATAGGAGATTTACATTCAACATCTGTTTGGGAGAATTAGAAACCGCAAACTTCTCAGTATTTATTGCACCTAAATAGTTTCACATTGCGACCCCTGAAGTAAGAGCTATGATAAGTGCAAATAAATGAGCAAATATTTGGGCTTGACATGCTTAACGCGGATTTGCTAAAACGATTTAAGTAATTATTGCCGAAAAAGCAACCACTCTTCTAGGTCAGTTTTATCGTATTTGCCTTTTGTTTTGTGTTGATCTAGAAAAAGGAATAAGGGAGAGAAAATTTTTTATCATCCAACTATATAATTACAGGCTTAGTTTGAACAAAAGCTACTATATTAATGGCCAAAGTCACAGCACTGGTTTTAAAATGCTCTTGAGAAAATTCAGTTCATTGTTTTACGGATATTGAAAAGAATATCCAGAATCCATCAGGGTTGGATTTTATAGTTGTACCCAGACTTTCTTTAGTGTTAGTGGTCAATGAGATCAATTGCCTGCTTCTAAGTCAACATGCTGACCTCAGACAGTTTACCAAATGGACGTTTGATGTAACTGATCATTATTATTGAACATTTTATCCTTGAATAACTTTAACAGATCCTGATGGTTATTTATTCTTTAAATGTTAAATGATTCCTGCTTGATAGAAATCCATTTCCTTTATTAATACCGCAAGGAAATTCCAATTCATATCTTGACAGAAAGCCCAGAAGAAGGTAAAAGATAAGAGTGCAATTGAATGCATAGAATATAATCACATTTCTGCAATTATGTAAATATAGCTTCTTCACTAGAATGCGAATTATCCTGGCCATCAAGCCACAAAATTCACCAAGAAAATATTCAAGTAAGCAGAAGGTGATCATCCTTTTAAAATGCAACTTTTGCTGACAGTCCCCTGGTATTTCATATTTGTAGGGCCAACTTCAAGGCAAATTTTAGGCACCATTGGGATTTAAGCCCACCTTCTGTCCACCCATCCCCAGCCTGCTTTTCTGGTGACCATCAGCCAGGTCCGCAAGCCCACAGAATGATCAGAGACCCAGAACAAAGCCCATTGGCCTTCTCTGTCTTAGAAATTTCCTTACTACCGTACTTAACTACTCAATGGAGCATTGAGATGAATAATAACAGAAAAGACTAAAATCAATAAATAAAATGAGGAAATTGCATTTCCTAACTACTCTTCAAAAGGAAACTCTGTGGATAGTCATCTGCTTTCCCCACGTAGCTGTGGACATCAGACCCACAAGGGGACCAGAGCACCTGCATGGCTCATGCTGCTGCCATGACTTCAGTCCCTTGTCCCTCTGGTCCACTGCTCTCTCTCCTTGCTGGACTGACCCAGTTGCCTTGAAGTGGGTTTCAGAACAGTTAGACTCATAAAAATGGTTTTGGGGAGAAACTCTTCCATAGCTCGTTTGGAGGGAGGAAGCGCTCATTGCGAGATGAGCAGCCATTGTCTTTAGCTTGTTTTTTGCCACATCTGTGACTTAAGAATTCATGATGCAGGACGTAGGTACGGGTAGGCTGATGGCTGACGGTTCCAGCCACTTCCTTGGAGAACAGCACTCATGGTTTCCTTCTTGTCCCCTCAGTACCGAGCCACCGCCCTGCCAGCGTTTAAGTACTACGTGACCTGCGCATGTCTCATATTCTTCTGCATCTTCGTTGTGCAGATTCTAGTATTACCAAAGTAAGTACCTATGGCTCTCCACTGTATCTCTCTACAGGAGCCCAGTTGTAATAAAGGGTAGAAGAGAGTGCAGATTTCCAAACAGAAGGGTCATATAACAGGGGAGGGCCAGTTCATTCAGTATCTGTGAAATTAAGTGGCTCCCGTGTGTCATGCTTAGTTTACAATAATATTGCCTTTTCAATGTGGACATATTGATTCACCTTATAGGGTTTTTAACAAAATAAATTTAACCTTCTGACTCCGATTTCTGTATTACTCTGGTGCCCAGTGGAAGAAATGCAGCCCAAAAAACTACCCAGAAAGAGCAAAAAATCTAGATGTTTTTTCTAATAAGCAAAGAATGTTGTGTATTGAAAGGACGTAACCTGCTCTGGGCACACTGTACATAGCCATCTCTTCTGATTTCACCTTCTTCTCCCTTAAGTCCGCTCTTGCCACCTTTCTGATTGTAATAGGTCATGGTCTAGCTCACCCTTCCCAGGAGAGACCTGGATTCAGAGGGGAGAAACTGAGGAAGCCGGATTTCACACTTGCACACTTCGGGGTGGACTCCTAGTCCCATCTCTGCGTGAAAATCCAGTCACTCTGGGCTTGCTAGATTGCCTCTCTCTCTCATACCTTCTTCATGAGCGCCATAGAAGTCAACTGACTTTCTTTAAAGTAATGGATTCTTTCTCATTCTATAGTCTAAGGGAAAAGAAGAAAACAAAACTCTTGTCCTTTTCTCAATAATTGGGGATATAGAAAGAAACTTTTAAGACAAATCTTCTTTGCTTTTATCAATATTTTGTAAAGGCCAAAGCAACCATTTTCAACCTAGTAGGATCTAGTTGTGTGTTTGCATTTAACTTCAGCAGCATTTGTGGAAAACTTGAATTGCCGGGGTTGGGTTGCATTTTGTCTCATGAAGGTGTTGAGCCAGCTAGACAGAAATGGTCTGCCTTTCCCCTGTGCACTCCAAAGGATGTTCTTCTGGGCACGAAGCAACACAAAGGCATTTGTAGAAGTAACAAGTCACAGTATAGCTCACACATGTTCATTCCCAAGCTATCTGCCCCCTTTTAGAAGAGGTTCCCAGTAAACTTCTCCTCCCCCCCGTAGATTTGCCTGCACACACAAAGCTTACCAACTGATAGAGCCAAAGGGCATTAAAAAAGTTATGTAAGTGAAACAATTACCAAGGGAAGTGGGCCCTTATTATTGCTCTTAGGTGGATAAATTCACTTATTTTTCTGCATCTTCCTATTGGATGACCATTTTTATGTTTTCTACATCATAATTAAGACAGGGATTATCACCCATCAGAAGGAATTAGGAGAGAAGAAAGTGACTAGAACTCTTTTTTCAAATCATCCATTTTACTACTATGCACAATATTTCTTTTTTATGCTATACATTTATTTTATTCTATTCAAGTATAATTAACATAGAGTGTTCTACTAGCTTCGGGTGCACAACATACTGATTCAGAAATTCTCTGCATTACTCAGTGCTCATCACAATAAGTGTACTCTTAATTCCCCTTATCTATTTCCCTCATCCACCCACCTGTATCCCCTTGGCAACCACCATTTTGTTCTCTGTATTTAAGAGTCTGTTTTTTTGTCTCTTTTTTTTCTTTCTCTTGTTTCTTAAATTCTACATATGAGTGAAGTCATATGGTATTTGTTTTTCTCTGAGTTTTTTTACTTAGCCTCTAGGTCCATCCATGTGGTCACAAATGGCAAGATTTCGTTCTTTTTTATGGCTAAGTAATATTCCATTGTATAGGTATATCACAACTTTTTCTATCCAGTCATCTACCAATGGATATCTTGGCTATTGTAAATAATAATGCAATAAACATAGGGGTGTGTATATCTTTTCAAATTACATACACTGTTGGTGGGAATGCAAATTGTTGTTGCCACTGTGGAAAACAGTTTGGAGTTTCCTTAAAAAATTAAAAATAGAATTACCATATGATCCAGTAATTCCACTACTAGGACATTTCGAAAGATGATGCCAGAGAAGCCAAAAATTTCCAGGGACCAAGACAAATAATTCATAAGATTACACTTTTCAGAAAACATCAGGGAGATGTCTTCTGTCTTTGCTTTTATTTTCTTATCTTTCTTCCATGTGTTGTATCTTTAAGAGGACCCATCCAAGTTCATTCTCTTAAGCATCATCACCAGTTGGTAGTGTGTTTCTCTTGAGCAACAAGTTGATTTTGAGCATGAACATTGTGAATTCTGTGCTGGTTGCACTACCCTCCTTGTGTTGGCAGTGACAGAGCTCAGAGTAGGTCTGCGGACACCTCTGATGGAAAGAGTTGAGACCAGAACTTTCTGTGCTTGCTTCATATTACATTTATATTATATTATGTTGTATTATAATGTCCTCTTCCTTCATTTTTTTCATGGTAATGTCCTCATGTTTCTTTTCCTTTGTAAATAGTTCTTCTTGTGAAGTATTTCAAAGATACAGCAAAGTACAGAGCATGATATAATAAACATTTGTGTGCCTACAATCCAGACTGTACAAATTTAATCCTGAGTCACACTTCCTGTAGATATGTCTCTGGGCTCTTGAAGCCATTGTTGTTTTGGTATACCTCCTGTAAACAGCATCTATTTTTATTTATTTTTTTATTTATTTGATCTGATATTTTTCTACATTAATGTGATTTGATTCCATTTGTATTAGATTTTGTTACTGATGTATGGACTCACTTCTTCCCTCTTATGTTTCAATTACCTTGCTTTTCTTGGTGCACCTTCCCACTTCCTAACTTCGAAAGGATTGATCCAGTATTCTCTAATCTTTTCTTTTCCTTTACTAGTCAGGATCTCTCTTCCTCTCTCCTCCTCGTGTGCATGCATACTCTCTCTATATAAAAACACACACACAGTGGTATATATAACGTACATATATAAAATATATGTACTTACATAACTACATATGTATATAACTATATATATAGTATTAAAATATTCTGAAGTTAACCATTATATCTTCCCTATAATTTTTCTTAGGACTTCTGTTCCAGATGGTAATTACAATCAGCATTTATTTAGATTTATTCTTGTTCTTTACCAATTTATTTATCAATTTTTTTTATTAAAGCATAATTAACTTACAGTGTCATGTGAGTTTCAGGTATACAGTATAATCATTCAACAGTTCTATACATTTCTCAGTGCTCACCCAGTATACTCTTAATCCCCTTGTTTATTTCACCGTCTTTTAAAAAATTATTCCTTCAAGTTTATTCCCTTCTTGCTGATGACTATCATTTATTAGTTCTTTCATTGAGGGTCTGTGAGTAGCAATAGCTCCTGTTTTTTTCTTTATATGTTGAAGTATTTTTATCTGCCTTATTTCACATTGGCTCTTGGATAATAGTTTAACTGAGTATAAAATCCTATGTTTAACTCTATTTTCTCTTAGTATTAGGATGGTGATAGCCCATCAATTTCATCATCTGTTGCTGCGAATGATATGTCTTCTGTCAAACCCATTATATTTCCTTTTTTTTAATTTTTTAAACTTTTTTTAAGATTTTGTTTCTTTATTTGACAGAGAGTGAGATAGCGAGAGCAGGAACACAAGCAGGGGGAGTGTGAGAGGGAGAAGCAGGCTTCCCACCGAGCAGGGAGCCCGATGTGGGGCTCGATCCCAGGACCCCAGAATCATGACGTGAGGCGAAGGCAGACACTTAACAACTGAGCCACCCAGGCGCCCCCAATCCCATTATATTTCTTTTTAGATAATTTGTCTTTCCACCACGGGTGCTTTTTTCCCCCTGGGATTTCAGTATACTCTTTCCCCATGTGTATTTGTTCTTCTTTACCTAAGTGCCTAGGTGTGATTTTCAGTCTGAAGATTCATATTGGCAAATTCACATTATCACCTTATATATTCCTTCTTTCTTTACTTTTTCCTCCTTGAAATCTTATTAATTGTATATTGTGCTGTTCATTCTGTGTTCCAGGTCTTACAATTTTTCCTCAAACCTTAGACCTCTTTATTTCTCTGTGCTGCATTCATTCTGGTGAATCCCTCATCCACATTGAGTATATAATTTCAATGATTACTTATCTCTAAGACATCTATTGGATTCTTTTTAAAATCTGAATTTTTTGTAATTCCATATTTTATAGCTAAGGATTCCATTTTTTCTTTCCTTTATTAGCATAATAAATGAATTGTATGAAATTGTATAAAAATATTATGAAAATAGCACTTATTTCATTCTGTTATTAGGGTGTATAAATGCATGAATTCTGCTGTGGGGTCTCTCTGTTGACTCATGGTGGCACGTCTCCTTGGGTTATATGTAATTTTAACTGTGAGCTCACCAGCATCAAGGGTTTGGGTCTATGGTGATTTCACATCCTCTGAGTTATGAAGGCATTACTATGATATATTTTTCAGTCTGTCTCTGCCAATTGTCTCTGGGATTCACCAATTCAAATCAGAGTATTTTGTTAACTTCAGGTCAAGGTCAGGGTCCCTTCACTAAACAGGTCGTGTGAATTTGACTAACCCCTTAGCATGGAGCAAGATTGGGGCGTCTCATTTCAGGATGACTCTGTTTCCATTCATCTCTCTAGTTAGTCAACTTCCCTGAAAATTATCAGACTGCTGGGCATAGGTTTTAGGTTTCCTGTTTCTTGGTAGGCCAGCAGTTTATGGCTTCTGACTTTATTCAAGAGCTAATTCCAATTTCCCATTAATGAAGTGCCTGACAGCATCCTACCTTGCATAAACATTAAATCTCACACTCCAAGGCATGGATCCGCCCCTGGTTCCTCCTGGACTGGTTTGCATTGATACCCCTCACATTCTGCTTGTGAATACCCTCTGTGTATGTAGTATTTTCTCTTCTCATGAGCTCATCTATTTAAAAATAATAATATTGTTATACTTTATGAAGCATTTTCATTGGGATAATGATGTTTCTCACTTCTCACTTCTTTTTAATGTGCTGACCTCTTGTTTTGCTT